TATTAATACTCCATCAAAACTACAAGTGGAAAATAACAAATTTACATTTGTTTGAAAACAGACTGGACACGTTTCGTGACATTATCATTTTAGTTTTCTGTTTCTTAATTAGGGAGTAGTTCTTATGGGAAATCACACTGTCCTTCTCAAAGACAAAAAGCAATTCTCGTGTTTACAAAAATCGCATTTTTGTAAATTTGGTACTCACCCTAAATTTTAATTGTATCATTTTTGTGTACATTAAAATTCTTTGCACCTACAATTCTATAGAAATAAGACAATATAGTTAGATGTTAATCGGGCAGTTGAAGGGCATCTAGTGTCTAGACACCAACTAAGCGGCAATTACACGGATTTTTTGACCAACTAGACCGATTAGCCATCTACAGCTAGGACCGCCTAGCGATCGGCACTGATTCGTTGGAGCAACTAGACCATTTTTTAGAACAATGGACACAGTAAATATGTTGGTCGGAAAAACTCGATTTTATAGACAATAAATGTCTAGCATCATCATCATTATCATTACCCCAGTGCTGCAAAGGCTCCCACCTACGTAGGGTAAGGGGGTTGGATGTACACAGTCTTACCCCTGTACTAAAGCACAAAGAGATTGTTTTCGAATGACCCATAGTGAAAATCGCGTCGAAAATTGCATTGACTGACTGCCGCTTCATAACAAAGAAGCGCAGACAGTTTAATGAGTCAATTTGCATTATTCCATCATATTCTCAAACCAAAAAATAGTGAGTTTTTTGCTTCATTGCAAAATATGTAAAAAAAAAAAAACCTCGAACAAGTTAAAAATTTGTATAATTTTTGTACACATTTTCAAAGTCACTCTTACTATCAATTTTTACTTAGTGTGCTCTTGAGAGAAAGAATGGTTGCAAAAACAAACATCCTGATAGTGTAGTTTTTTATTATGTATATTTTCACTTTTATTTTGTTTTCACGGTGTAATGTTTTAGTAATTGCCTGTTTACGGTGCAACAATTTATTTTCCTTGTTAGTTGTAATTTGTTTAGGTTAGACTATAGAGAACAATTAAACGTGCATGGATATTTTTATCACGACTGTTATTATACCCGATCTGTTATACCGACATACCCGATCGGTATGACATGATTTATGAAGCTGTGTAGCTACTGCTGATGATTCACGACCGGGTATGACATGATTTCCAAAGTCCTATAAAAACACTCATTTCCTTCACAATGTAGATATTCAGTGCATGTTTACTAACAGAGATATTTTCCAGTTTTCTAGAAAAGTGGAAAAAGAAAAATGGAAAACGTGTTTACCAAAGAAAATTGCTGGAAAACTGGAGAAAGGAAAACAGAGAAATGCGTTTACCAAATCGTTTTCCAAAACCCAAAAAAAATGAGATATGTCCTTAATGAACTGGAGAAGTGACTCTAACTAGTTTTCCAAATTTGGAAAAACGCGGATGTTGCGGTGCCGCTGCAATGAATTTTTATACATACGCCTAGTGGTGGATACGGTCCCGCTCCGGTGTCAATTCTAGTCTGGCCCGGCTAACGACCCGACGATCCCTGTCTGATCCGGTCAATGACCCGGCAGTCTGGACTGGTATTGACCTGGCGGCCCCTGGCCCCCTGTCAGTCCGGTCGACGGCTGAGCAATCCCAGTTCGGTCTGGTTGACGATCCCAATCTGGTCCGGTCGATGACCCGACGACCCCTTTCCGGTCCACGATCCAACGGTGCCTGTCTGATCTGATCGATGACCCAACGATCCCGGTCCGGTCCGGTCGGCGACTCAATGATCCTGGCCCGGTACATGACCCGACGATCCCTGTTCGGTTCGATCCACAAACACGCGATACCTGTTATGTCCGGTTGACAGTCGGGCATTCCCGGTCCGATATGGTCTGGTCAATGACTCGGCAGCCCCCGTCCAGTCTGTCAGTTACTCGGCGGTCTCCGTCCTGTCCGGTCAACCACCCTATAGTCCCGTATTATCCAATCAACGACCCGGTGGTCCTTATCTTGTTCGTCCAATGAACCGGTAGTCTGTGTCCGGTTCGATCGACAACCTGACGGTCGCGGGCCATTCCCGTCAATGACCCGACGGTCCCTGACCGGGCCAGTCAATGACCTAGTGGTTCGGTCTCAATTTTTTGAAATCATTTTTAAAGTGAAGAGTTTTAAAAGAGCCATTGAACTGTCAACCAGTATGGAAATGAGAAAAGAATTCACCAAACTAATCGTTGAGACCAACCGGTTACGATCCCGACTTTCCTATACATGGGACCTGGTACCTTACTTGGGATGTACTAGGTTTGGTTCCGAACTGGAAACGTACTTTCAGTTTTGTGGTCGGCCACAGAACCGGGTGAAAAATTTTAATGAACATGCTTTCATATTTGAAAATGGAAAACAAAAAAAAATGAAAACAAAAGATTGGAGATAGAAAAACAGGAAAATGAAAACAGAAAATTTGGGGACGGAAAACAGAAATAGAAAACTAGAAAATATCTTTGTTAGTAAACAGGCTCTCATTCTTCCATGTGCTTAAAATTGTGACAAAAAAACAACAACGGAATATTTATTACACCGTGGAGAGAGTGTGAACGAGTTTCTATTAATTATTTTTGTATGTTTATATCTCTCCCGCCACGTGTACACCGTTGTGACTTTTGCATTGGAGGTGCTCTAAACTCCCTTTTTTAGTTTTGCTCTTGAAGCTTGTTGAGTGTTAAAGTTTCGAGTTATTTTCTTAAATTTTTTATTGAACATTAATTCTTTCCTTATTCTATCTCTATAGTAATGTTGGTGTCTTGCTAAGTGACGATTAGGTTACACTTTGACGTTAATGGTTACTAGAAACGATCAATTAATCAATGGCTAAACACTGATGGTTAACCAAACATTCCAGCCCAGCTGGTTGTGCGGTTACCGTACCTGGTGAGAGGTCTTGAGTTCGAAACACGCTAGGCACATATGGGTTTGAAACTCAATGGAGCGAGTTTCAGCCTTGATTACTCTAGGGCCCCCAACCCCCCTCCCCCAGCCCCCTGGAGTTAAAAAAACGATGGTTTCACAAGTAAATAACTTCGGGTTATTAGTCTATGGTCTCATGCTTAAATCTTAAGAAGTATTAATTGTGTTGGTTGAACTGAAACCGGTATATGGATTAAGGTATCAATATCAACGGATTTCACCACATAGTTGAGAGAATGCCTGATGGAGTATATGGCCCAGGAACCCCCGGCCCATAGACTCCTACTTCTCCTACACAAGTCCATTGAGCCCAGAGAACAACTCAGGCCCAAATGCAACGGCCCAAGCCTCAAAATAGCCCAGAATACACACTGGATAGCCTTCTCTGGCATAAGAAGCTGCTGGGAGAAAACGGCGAAAAGCATGAGCCTTCGGCATTATCAAGCCCTCGGCATCAGGGAAGCCTTCGGCTGAAACATGCTTTCGGTCACACAAGGCCTTCGGCTACACAGGGGTCCTTGGTCACGTGGAGCCCTCGGCTACACAAGGAGCCTTCGGCCAAACATGCTCAATCATCGAAGATTCCTTTTGGAGACAGCCAACCACCGCATTTAATGCCACGTCACATCCACCAACCGCATTCAATGCGGTGAACGTACCACTGCCGGTGCCACCCCGGCTGATGTGACCCCTCGGCCGTTGGATTACTGACACGTGTACCCTCATCGCATTTATTGCTGCTATAAATAGCAGCCCATTTCTCCTTGTAAACGATCGACATCGATCTCTTTCACGCTGAGTTCATTTAATAAAATCAACTCTCTCTCCTCTTATTTTGCTCTGACTTCTCTCTAGTTGTTCCCGCAATAACCCCTCGGATAGGATACCCCCCGGGTAGACTGTCCATCATTTGGTGCTCTCGTTGAGAGGTCTGAACAATCAAGTAAGAAACCCTCCCCCTCTACCAAACTCAAAACACCTACCAAAAATGGGAAGAACAACTCGTGCTCAATCTAAGAACCTCGAGGAGAACCACGTAGCCCCCGGCGAGACCAACGGGGCTGAGGCCTTCAACAGGCTCTTAGTACCCGAGGGTGGTATCATCCTCGAATTGGAGCAGGCTACTGCTGACCTCCGTCAGCAGCTACAGAAGAACGCCCCCGATGCCCGCATTGGCCTTGATAATCGAAGGAGGGATCGGAGTGAGAACCAAGTTCCCCCTCCGGCCCCGGCCATCGATCTTCAGGCTGCCTTTGCGGCCTTTGTTCAAAATATGGCTCTCAATTCCGGAGCCCTCGTATCTCAGGCACCCCTTCAGCCCTATGCTGGAGGGAATGTTATCCAACTACCACCACTCCCTCCTTTGTTCAACAATCCTCCCCCGGGGATTGGCAACGCCGAGGGGGTCATGGCGCAGGATACCGCCTCCCAAGAGGCCCAATCCAGGGATAAGCGCCCCATGATGAAGGAGAAACCTCGAACCTCTGCACTTGAGAGACTGGGGGGAGCTCCCGGTCACCGAGGGGTCCAAGACCGCCTCGGGAAACAGGCGCTCAGCAGGCCCCAGGAAAGTGGAGCCTCCGCTTTCGGCGCCGAGGACATGCCTCCGCCCCGGAGCAAAGGCAAAGCCCTCCTCCATGTCGATGACGCCAGGCACCAAATCAATCAGGCTCAATCCTTCCGGGCCAACTCCCAAGGGGTTGCCCTGAAGGATCCCAAGGACGAAATCATTGAAGCCCTCCTCCGTCAACTTGAGGAGAATCGACAGGCACCCCCTACAGCTTCCACAGCGAGGCCAGATCCGGAGTACGCTGACCTCCGGGCACAAGTGGAAGAGATGAAGCGTAAGCTTGCCGAGGGATCCGACGAGCCCCTCATTCAACTCCGCACTAGGACGCCTTTCACCCCAAGGGTGCTGGCGGCCAAAATCCCTCATAAATACCGGGACAACCCATCTGTCACGCCCCGGACCTACCCGGACACGTCAACAACCCGCCGTACAATACGAATAGTCAACCGCAGTCCAACACGTTCATATTATACAAGGCGTCATGAATATCATTCACACATATAACATCCATAAACATACATAATAAACAATTCAACACGCAGCGGAAAACATTGTTTAAAACAAAGGGCCACACAGGGCAAACATGAGCACACAGGCTCCAAAGTAGAATATCCATGAGCATGTTTATTAATGTTCTAAAACAGGATGGAGGAAGCACGAACCAAGTCTTCTCTCCGGGGAAATCACTCGGGCAACGAGCACAGGAAGCAAGCTCTAGCCTCAACCTGAAATGGTGGTGGGACGCCCCCGAAGGGGTCAGTACTCTATACGGCTATAAAGTACTGGTGTGGCAGGCATCTAATAGATATACAACAAGTATTTCAAACACAAGACCCTCAAATAGGGTGATAGTATATTATGATTTGTAACCCTAAGTTACCTATTTGAAAATATACTTACTTTATGTAAAAGTCAAGTAGTCGGCCCGTGGGCCCATGTTCATTTAGAAATCACCATTCCCATTCCCCGTGGCTACGAACCACGACAACTCAATAGAGTCCAACCCTAACACATGACATTGTATTCTAGAGCTCGGCTCTACCACATCACCATACAATTCATGTCACTCGGGTCAATTTCCTTACCTTGCGTTCTAGAGCTCGGCTCTATCACATCACCACGCAAGCCCTAGAGCTCGGCTCTAGCTATACAATACATAGACTCCAAGTCTACACCTTACATGCATTCTAGAGCTTGGCTCTATCACATCACCATGCATTAAGGTCAAATTCTCAAGCAACCCTATGCCTAGAATTGACATATCATTAAACTACCATGGGTCATCCTTAAAGACTTCCCAAAACTTAACCTTAGTTCCATACTAAGTCATTATATGCACTTGAACTATATTCAAGTACCTTTCATACAATCCAATCCCTAGGATCAATTTAATCAACAAGTTCCAATAATCACTAACTAGTATTTCAATACTATTAAGATTATTGTTATCATTCCACTATTCTCTTTGTTTGTAATTCTCTACATAATTATAATTATGTAGCAGCAACTTAAGTATCCAATCTCAATACACAAATATTCATTTATGTATCCAAATAATTCATACATGAGCAAAATACCTATTTCGCAAAAATAGTTCATTTATACTCATTTAATCTCATATTATTCATACATTCTCAAATCATTTCAAATTTCATTCTTTGGCAACTATATCTATATTTCATCAATATATAATCATCATAATCCATGAAAAATAATGATTTAAGCATTTAGGTAATCTCATGCTTAACCTACAAGTTGTAAGCAATTAGATGTCAATCCTCACCTCAATTGAGCTTTAAACTTTCCCTTCTTGGTCCAATGGTCAAAGCTTTGGTCAAGGTGGATTTGGAACTAATTCCTTGCTCAAATATGAGTGTTAAACAGCCTCCTCAAAGTGCTAGTTCAACCCTTAATCGTTGATACGAAAACAGCCCCTAGAATGGGTGTTTTCCGGTTAACTCGCTTCCTAGTTTTCCAAGATTTTCTCTAAGTTAGTATCTAACCTTTACATCAATAAAATAACTTTATAAGGACATATTATACACTTGGATTAGTGTACAATAGTTCCACCAATCGTTCATATCATTTGGAAAATGAAAGGAAAGGTTTTGGGGTTAACAACTCACTTTAGAAAAGTAGATCCGTTTCTGCGAGGTTGTGTTTTGCTCGGACGATTTGGAAGCCTTCCACTACTCCGATTGATGCAAACCAGACATTCACGGATTCCTCGTCTTGAGAGCTTTCTTTTGGTATCTCACACGCCTTAATTTGATTGGTATAACTCGAGATATCCACCAAACAGCTTCAGCACTCTCAGAGCTCGAGTTTACAGACCACTGCTCGCTCCAGATCGATTTGTGGATGATTACTCTCTCCTCTCGAACAGAGACCACTCAATTATGAAAATAGACTTCAAAGGCTATCCAAGGACACCTTATACACGTTGTTTGGTCGAGTATAACTCCCATAATGAGTGGAGACAAACAGCACACCATTTTGTGCGAAAAATAGAGATGGTGGCCCAACATTTGATTCCTATCAAGTCTTGTGCAGCTCCTCTCCATGGTGGTCGGCCAAGGTAAGTCTTCTCACTCATTTTTATTTGTCTTTCAGGTACTAATATCATGTGGAGTGGTTCCCCATTGATCCCAATTATTTTGGGGTCCAAAATATCTATCAATACTTCCAAAAATGGGAAGATGGGTTCTATTGTTTTATCTTTTGTCAAAGATGTCTTTTTGTACTCATCCTAACTTATTTAGAACAAGTCAACTTCCTACATCACATTATTGATCTCCAATATGTGTAGGCTCATCTCAATAATTTACATGATGAAAATTATAAAAGAATACGGGTTTGAACAATACAATATTCAATCATGTACTACGTAAAATATTAATCGTTTTTCCATTGTTTTGAAATCGGAAATTCAATACATCACTTTGAATTTAAGAATGGAATTTTCAAGGACGTTCGGGTGCGGTGTCACAAGTTCACCCCCCCCCCTTAACAGGAATTTCGTCCCCGAAATTCACAGTTCTAACCGAATAGGAAAGCATACTGCTTCCTCATCAAGGCCTCTGTTTCCCATGTCTCTTCTTCGACCCGATCGCTCTTCCAAAGTACTTTAACCATTGGGACTTCTTTGCTTCTCAATTTCTTCACCTTCCTATCGGTGACCTTGATTGGTTGCACGGCGTAGTTCAAATCCTCACGTACCTCTACAGGCGGCTTTTCTAATACGTGAGAGGGATCATGCACATACTTCTTGAGCATGGATACATGAAACACATTGTGTATCTTCTCTAACTCAGGAGTCAACTGTAGACGATATGCTACGGCCCCAATCCTCTCTAGAATTCTGAATGGACCTATGTATCGTGGATTAAGCTTTCCTCGGGTTTGGAATCGAAAGATTCCTTTCCAAGGAGAAACTTTCAAGAATACCTCGTCATCAACCTTAAACTCTAAGGTTCTCCGACGCTTATCTGCATAACTCTTTTGTCTATCCTGAGCCGCTTTGAGTCTCTCTCGAATCAACTTCACCTTTGACTTGGTGATCTCAACCAACTCAGTACCCTCGAGTTTGGACATGCCAACCTCGTCCCAGCATAACGGTGTATGACACCTCCTCCCATATAATGCCTCGTATGGAGGCATGCTGATGCTTGCCTGATAACTGTTGTTATAGGCAAACTCCACAAGTGCTAAGTGGTTGTCCCAACTTCCTTGGAACTCCAATGCACAAGCCCTCAGCATGTCTTCTAAGATCTGTATGACTCTTTCAGACTGCCCATCCGTCTGTGGGTGGAAAGCAGTACTGAACTTCAACCTCGTTCCCATAGACTCCTGAAATTTCGGCCAAAAACGTGATGTGAATCGTGGGTCTCTATCGGATACAATGGTCACTGGAACCCCATGTAGCCTCACGATCTCATCCGTATACAGTTTGGCTAACCTCTCAAGTGGGTAAGTGGTGTTGATAGGCAAGAAGTGTGCACTCTTCGTGAGCCTATCTACCACAACCCAAACTGCATCATAGTTCCCGATTGTTCGTGGTAAACCTACCACAAAATCCATAGTCACGTGTTCCCACTTCCATTCAGGAATGGAAAGTGGTTGCAATAAGCTTGCTGGATGCTGATGTTCCGCCTTAACTTGTTGACAAGTAAGGCATCGACTGATATATTCAGCTATTTCTCTCTTCATACCCGACCACCAGTAACTCTCCTTCAAGTCGCGGTACATCTTCGTGCCCCCCGGGTGCATGGCATAAGCCGATGAATGCGCTTCCTCTAAGATGGACTTTCGGAGCTCATCATCTGCCGGTACACACCCTCGGTCACGAAATAATAAGAGACCGTCATCTATTTCTCTGAAGTCCTCCACCGGTCCCGCTTGCATGCGTTCCCGGATCCTCATAATTTCTTCGTCAGTTTCCTGACCCTTCTTGATCTCATCAAGTAAAGTAGGTCTCACCTCAAATCGTGCCAATAAGGCACCATCGCTGGATACCTCCAGTTGGGCTCTTAATGTTCTCAAATTAGCTAGCAATGCCCCAGACGAGCTCTTCCGGCTCAAAGCATCTGCCACCACGTTTGCCTTGCCTGGGTGATACTCTATCACTAGATGGTAGTCTTTTATCAACTCCATCCACCGTCTCTGTCTCATGTTTAGCTCTTTCTGAGTAAACACGTATTTCAAGCTCTTGTGATCAGTGTATATGTGACATGTCTCCCCGTAGAGATAAAGTCTCCATATCTTCAGTGCAAACACCACTGCCCCCAGCTCCAAATCATGAGTAGGATAATTCACCTCATGCTTCTTCAACTGTCGTGAAGCATAGGCGATTACCCTCCCATTCTGCATCAGTACACATCCAAGCCCTTGGATGCTCGCATCGCTATATACATCGTACCCCACACCTTGTTTGGGTAATGCAAGTATCGGTGCCTCAGTCAATCTCTTCTTTAGTTCCATGAACCCTTTCTCACATTTGTCATCCCATACAAACTTAGCCCCTTTACGAGTGAGCTTCATCAATGACGATGCCAAAACAGAGAACTTCTCCACGAACTTTCTGTAGTAGCCTGCCAATCCAAGGAAACTACGAATTTCCTTGACGTTCTTTGGCCTCTCCCATTCGATAATGGCTTCTATCTTCTTGTTATCAACAGCAATTCCCGATCCCGAAACCACGTGCCCGAAAAAGCCAATTTCCTTTAGCCAAAATTCACATTTAGAAAATTTGGCATAGAGTTGCTTCTCCCGTAGTGTCTCAAGGACAAGTATCAAGTGCTCCTCATGTTCTTCTTCACTCTTTGAGTAAATCAAGATGTCATCTATGAACACAATCACGAATCGGTCCAAGTATTTATGAAATACTCGGTTCATCAAGTCCATGAATGTCGCTGGGGCGTTTGTTAACCCAAACGACATAACAAGGAATTCAAAGTGCCCATACCTTGTGCGAAAAGCACTTTTTGGTATGTCATCTTCCTTAATCTTTAATTGATGGTAACCCGACCTCAAGTCAATCTTTGAAAACACGGTTGCCCGTCGTAGTTGATCAAAAAGGTCATCAATCGTAGGCAAGGGATACCTATTCTTGATTGTGACCCTGTTCAGTTGACGATAGTCAATACACATTCGAAGTGTCCTCATCTTTCTTCTTCACAAAAAGAACTGGTGCTCCCCACGGGGAGTGGCTTGGTCTAATGAAACCATTATCCAAAAGCTCTTGCAATTGGGTTTTCAACTCGTTAAGTTCAGCGGGTGCCATACGGTATGACAGTATGGAGATTGGTTTGGTACCGGGCTCAACCTCGATCACAAATTCAATCTCCCTATCAGGTGGAAGCCCCGGTAGGTCTTTAGGGAAGACATCCGGATACTTACAAACCACCCTCACGTCATCGATGTTCGTTTCCTCTTTGGTTTTGTCAACCACGTATGCTAGATATGCGTGGCATCCCTTTCTCATCATACTTCTCGCTCTCACGGCGGATATGATACAGCTATTTGATCTCCCTCGATCGCCCTCGAAGCGTAGGGTCTCCCCATCATTGCCTTCGAGTTCACGAACCTTCGTGTAGCAATCTACCCTAGCATGGTTCCTTTCTAGCCAATCCATCCCTAGGATTGCATCGAATTCAATCATGCTCAGCGGTACGAAGTCACACGTCAGTGTTTGACCATTAACTTCCACCCCACAAGATGGATAGTAACAAGTTCTTTCCACGTCATCCCCTAGTGGTGTTGATACCACTAAGGTTTGCATCAATGGTGCGGATTGCACTTCCAATCTCTTGGCGAACGCTTCATTCACAAATGAACGTTGCGCCCCGGTATCGATAAGGATTCGCGCATCCTTCCCATTAATCTTTAGTGTCCCTACATTCATGAACCATGTAAGACATCTTTCCTACCCTCCCTACTCATTTATAGAAGGTTACAATGTTCACACGCACGTTAGGGATCAAGAAAAAGTCTTAACGTCGCAAAACGGTGCGAAAAAATCGCACTTCGGCAGTCTGGGTGCCAGGCACGATCGTGCCTGGCTTGGGAAAAAGCCCAGGAAGCTACTGCCTTGGAGACACGATCGTGCCTGCCTTAGGCACGATCGTGCCTGGGTCGGGGAAAATCCTGGGAAGCTACTGCCTTGGAGGCACGATCGTGCCTGCCTTAGGCACGATCGTGTCTGGGTCGGGGAAAAGCGCAGGCAGCTACTGCATTGTAGGCACGATCGTGCGTGCCTTAGGCACGATCGTGCCTGGGCGAAAACAGTCCGAAATGGTCCGAAATCTTCCCGGTTCGACCCCAAAACTTCGTGCAATGATCCTAACAATTAGTAACCTTAATTTATGGACTAATTAAGGACAAAACAGTAGTATACGAGAGGCAATACCTGCAACGGAGTCCGGGTTAGCTTGAGCGTCCGCCTCCGTCATCGCATAGACCCTAGCCTGGGTCCTTCCTTGGTTCACGGATGGCGCGTTGCTCGCGCTTGCTCCCCCTTGTCCCCTGCTTGCTTGAGAAGCCCCAGTTTGATTCCGTGTACCCGTAGGACCACTGTTCGGTCCCGGTGTCCTTGCCCCACCCAATTGTGGGCAATGCGCCTTCAAATGCCCGACATCCCCGCATTGGAAACATCTAGGTGGGTCGCGACATTTACCGGAGTGGTTCCTCTTGCAATTGTTGCAACGAGTTACCGCTGAGGCCTGTGACCTCGAGCCTTGCCCACTTGGGCCTTGGTTCCCCCTAGATGGCGGCGGTGGTGCCCGGAAAGATCCTCCTCTGTGGTTCCCCTTTTTGTTGGAACCTTGGGAGCCATGACTCTCCCACTTCCTCTTTTTCGCCTCTTCGGCGTCTCTCTTCCTCCTCTCCTCCCACTGTTTCTCCCCTTTCAACCCTTGGTCGACCACTTGAGCGAATGTCATGTTAGGCAATTGTGTTGCCCTATCACGTATCTCTAGGTCTAGAGCATCCCAAAAGTGATTCACCATCCGGTTCTCATCACAAGCATACTCCGGTATGTAATCGGCAAGGTCCCTGAACTTGTACTCAAGTTCCCTCACCGTCATGTTACCCCCTTGGGTTAGAAGGGTGTATTCCCTCACCTTTTTGTTCACCTCGAAATCCGAGTAGTATTGTGCAAAGAATTCTTGTCGGAAATCCTCCCAAGTGACGGTCTCACCATATTTGCTTTTGGTCCCATCCCACCACTTGGACGCCATACCTTCAAGTAATCTCACAGCAACCCTTAGTTTATATTCGGGGGTGAGTTGCATGTCCAGGGCTGCCTCATTCAGCCGCTTAATCCATTGTGCCGAAACGGAGATGTCACCCGTCCCATCGAACGGTTTGCACCCCAAGTCTCGTGCCTCTTTGATGTATTTGGAGATCCTTATGATTGGACCTCCATCACCTCGGCCCCCATGTGGTTCAATGTGGGCCCTAGAGTCGCCATGGCTTCTCCCTCTTGAAGCCCTGCCCGAAGGTTGCCCAGCCCGGTGCCTTCGGCGTTCCCTCCTCTCCTCACGCTCACGGTGGTACTGTTGAAGTAGTGCTTCAATCCGTGCTAAGGAGCCATTTTCCCCCTCATCACTTACATCATCATCATCCCCTTCATAAGGGGTCTCAACCGGTTCAGTTTCCGGTTGGTAAGTCGAGTCCTCATAGGACCAGTAGGTTTCACTTTCTGTGTCGACATGACCGTCACTCACGGTCTGTGATCGGCCTCCACGGCCAGCTCCTCTAGATGCCCTAGAGGTCCTTCGACTGCCCTGTCCAGTCTCCACTGGTACACGGCCGGTCGGGTTCCTCCTAGTAATCCTGCCACCACGGTCCATTTCTGAAAGAATTTTTGGAAAGAGTCGTTAGACTCGCATCAAATGTCAATTGACGGATAGGTACTTAAGACTCATTTTGGCTCGAGTCACCGCCATACCAATTGCTAAGGGTACCCACTTAACAATTAGAGACCTTGCAACCCAAGTACCAAAAGCTCTCCAAGTACAAAACTTCCATGCTCATGGTTTTCAAAATCTTTTCAAAAAGAGAATTTTGAGACTTCATTATGAAGTTTATGGACTAAGGCTCTGATACCAACTTAATTGTCACGCCCCGGACCTACCCGGACACGTCAACAACCCGCCGTACAATACGAATAGTCAACCGCAGTCCAACACGTTCATATTATACAAGGCGTCATGAATATCATTCACACATATAACATCCATAAACATACATAATAAACAATTCAACACGCAGCGGAAAACATTGTTTAAAACAAAGGGCCACACAGGGCAAACATGAGCACACAGGCTCCAAAGTAGAATATCCATGAGCATGTTTATTAATGTTCTAAAACAGGATGGAGGAAGCACGAACCAAGTCTTCTCTCCGGGGAAATCACTCGGGCAACGAGCACAGGAAGCAAGCTCTAGCCTCAACCTGAAATGGTGGTGGGACGCCCCCGAAGGGGTCAGTACTCTATACGGCTATAAAGTACTGGTGTGGCAGGCATCTAATAGATATACAACAAATATTTCAAACACAAGACCCTCAAATAGGGTGATAGTATATTATGATTTGTAACCCTAAGTTACCTATTTGAAAATATACTTACTTTATGTAAAAGTCAAGTAGTCGGCCCGTGGGCCCATGTTCATTTAGAAATCACCATTCCCATTCCCCGTGGCTACGAACCACGACAACTCAATAGAGTCCAACCCTAACACATGACATTGTATTCTAGAGCTCGGCTCTACCACATCACCATACAATTCATGTCACTCGGGTCAATTTCCTTACCTTGCGTTCTAGAGCTCGGCTCTATCACATCACCACGCAAGCCCTAGAGCTCGGCTCTAGCTATACAATACATAGACTCCAAGTCTACACCTTACATGCATTCTAGAGCTTGGCTCTATCACATCACCATGCATTAAGGTCAAATTCTCAAGCAACCCTATGCCTAGAATTGACATATCATTAAACTACCATGGGTCATCCTTAAAGACTTCCCAAAACTTAACCTTAGTTCCATACTAAGTCATTATATGCACTTGAACTATATTCAAGTACCTTTCATACAATCCAATCCCTAGGATCAATTTAATCAACAAGTTCCAATAATCACTAACTAGTATTTCAATACTATTAAGATTATTGTTATCATTCCACTATTCTCTTTGTTTGTAATTCTCTACATAATTATAATTATGTAGCAGCAACTTAAGTATCCAATCTCAATACACAAATATTCATTTATGTATCCAAATAATTCATACATGAGCAAAATACCTATTTCGCAAAAATAGTTCATTTATACTCATTTAATCTCATATTATTCATACATTCTCAAATCATTTCAAATTTCATTCTTTGGCAACTATATCTATATTTCATCAATATATAATCATCATAATCCATGAAAAATAATGATTTAAGCATTTAGGTAATCTCATGCTTAACCTACAAGTTGTAAGCAATTAGATGTCAATCCTCACCTCAATTGAGCTTTAAACTTTCCCTTCTTGGTCCAATGGTCAAAGCTTTGGTCAAGGTGGATTTGGAACTAATTCCTTGCTCAAATATGAGTGTTAAACAGCCTCCTCAAAGTGCTAGTTCAACCCTTAATCGTTGATACGAAAACAGCCCCTAGAATGGGTGTTTTCCGGTTAACTCGCTTCCTAGTTTTCCAAGATTTTCTCTAAGTTAGTATCTAACCTTTACATCAATAAAATAACTTTATAAGGACATATTATACACTTGGATTAGTGTACAATAGTTCCACCAATCGTTCATATCATTTGGAAAATGAAAGGAAAGGTTTTGGGGTTAACAACTCACTTTAGAAAAGTAGATCCGTTTCTGCGAGGTTGTGTTTTGCTCGGACGATTTGGAAGCCTTCCACTACTCCGATTGATGCAAACCAGACATTCACGGATTCCTCGTCTTGAGAGCTTTCTTTTGGTATCTCACACGCCTTAATTTGATTGGTATAACTCGAGATATCCACCAAACAGCTTCAGCACTCTCAGAGCTCGAGTTTACAGACCACTGCTCGCTCCAGATCGATTTGTGGATGATTACTCTCTCCTCTCGAACAGAGACCACTCAATTATGAAAATAGACTTCAAAGTCTATCCAAGGACACCTTATACACGTTGTTTGGTCGAGTATAACTCCCATAATGAGTGGAGACAAACAGCACACCATTTTGTGCGAAAAATAGAGATGGTGGCCCAACATTTGATTCCTATCAAGTCTTGTGCAGCTCCTCTCCATGGTGGTCGGCCAAGGTAAGTCTTCTCACTCATTTTTATTTGTCTTTCAGGTACTAATATCATGTGGAGTGGTTCCCCATTGATCCCAATTATTTTGGGGTCCAAAATATCTATCAATACTTCCAAAAATGGGAAGATGGGTTCTATTGTTTTATCTTTTGTCAAAGATGTCTTTTTGTACTCATCCTAACTTATTTAGAACAAGTCAACTTCCTACATCACATTATTGATCTCCAATATGTGCAGGCTCATCTCAATAATTTACATGATGAAAATTATAAAAGAATACGGGTTTGAACAATACAATATTCAATCATGTACTACGTAAAATATTAATCGTTTTTCCATTGTTTTGAAATCGGAAATTCAATACATCACTTTGAATTTAAGAATGGAATTTTCAAGGACGTTCGGGTGCGGTGTCACACCATCAAACCATACGAAGGGAAGACGGATCCCCAAGAACACTACAACAGGTATCAAAATAGCATGATGATGATGGGGGCCTCGGATGAATACTTATGCCGTTGGTTCCTTTCCACCTTGGAGGGACCAGCGTATGAGTGGTTCAACCGGTTGCCCGAAGGCAGCATCGATTCCTGGCAGGAACTTGCCCACCGCTTCCTCACACAATTCGCTGGGAGGCACCGCTCAAAGAAACACTTCTCCCACCTTCTGAACGTGAGGCAGCAGAAGGAGGAAACCCTCCGGAGTTTCTTGGAACGCTGGAGACAGACCTCCCTTGAGGTCGAGGGCGCCGATGACAGAACCCTGATGGCCCTCTTCCACACCGTCCTCCGCAACGGTAACTTCTCCAGGAGTCTCATCACTGATCCCCCCCCCCCCGCGATTATACAAAGGCCCTTCAGCGGGGGGGACCGATACGCCGAAGCAGAGGAAATCGAGAAGAACCGCCGCAACACGGATCCTTCTCAGAAGAATGAAGGCAGAAATCGGCTTGGAGGGCCTCCCCCTCCGGCCAATCGAGAAGCGCAATACAACGATCGCCCCCGTGGAGGCCAAGCCAGACCCGGGGGCGGTTACAAGAACAATCCGAAGGCATGGGCGCAACCCGTCCTCCTTGAGCACCCACGCACTCCCCTGACGCATCCCGTCAGCATCATTTTGGATCATGCAGAAGAGCGAGGGCTCGTGGAGCGAGACTCCCGTACACCCCTCGAGATTTATGCCACCGGCCCTGATGAGCCCTATTGCCGCTTTCACCGCCACCATGGACACAAAACTGACGACTGCCATCAGCTAAAAACCGCCATTGAGAGGCTGATACAGGGCCCCCCTCATCACCAGGGGCCTCCGCCAAAAGCGAATAAGTGGGTGAACCCCAACACCATCCCCTTGGGAAACCCACAGGGGAAGAAGCGTGAAATTGGGGGCCTCGATGAGGAAGAAGGAGGCTCCCATCAACAATACAAACGCCACATTCACATGGTTAACGGTGGCAACACTGGTGGAGACTCCGTCAGCCAGCGAAAGAAGTGGGCTCAATCCCTCTATGTTGGGGAGGTCAACCACATGCCCCCAACCAAGAAGCCGAGGGGGGAACCCATCTTCTTCACAGATGCGGACCTCCCCTCGGGCTCTCTGCCACATAGGGATGCCCTCGTCATCCGCACTGAGATCAATGACGCCATCATCCTCCGGACCTACGTTGACACGGGGAGTTCTGTCAACGTCATGTACTTCAGCACTTTTCAAGAGTTGGGACTCAACAGGGGGTCCCTTCGGCACATCCACACACCCCTCTCCGGATTTACGGGGGACAGCATAGACGCCGAGGGCGTCATCACCCTCATGGTTGAATTTGGCGACGGATCCCATAGAGCCAAGCTCGAAGTGGAATTCGTCGTCGTCAACCTCGACTGCGCGCACAACATCATCCTCGGCCGGCCTGCCCTCGAGGACTTGGAAGCCGTCATCTCCATGAGGCACCTCTGCCTCAAGTTCCCCACGCCTACCGGCATCGGTCACTCGAAGGGGAATCAGAAGCTCTCCAGGGCCTGCTACCTTCAACTTACCAAGAAGGTTAGTAAAACCGAATTTCGGATTGACACCATCACCGCCAAGGCCTTGGAGGAAGAAGAAGGCAGGCCGAGGG